TAGGATGCATACAAAAGCTTTAAATAAATAATAAGTAAATAAATAAATAAATAAATCCAAACCAATCCAATCCAATCAGGCTTGCTTCAAACTACACATGAAGAAACAAAAGTTAGAATACTGACCATTGGAGAAAAGGGGCTTCATGATAAGAAGTGATTTTGAATTGAATGCAATGGGCAAATAACAATGTCCAAAGTGAAATAAGAAAATGGCAACTTCAGATTAGATCCTCCTGCTTCAGGACCAGCCACTTGGAGCTGGTCTGGCTACTTTACCTAATGCCATACTCTGGGATTAATGATGCTTGGGTCACCTTTTTCTCATGAGCATGCTCACCAAGCCTTCCCATAGTATTTGAAACTGACTGATTTACAGGACTGCCTGGTTTCTCTCTGAGTCTTTGGGCCTTTTCATTTCAGCTATAGATTCTTACCCTTCTTCCTCTGCTCTCTCTATATTTGTTCACACATCCCTTAAAAGAGGGAGGAGGAGGACTTTCTCTGTGGTGGCGCCCCATCTATGGTATGCGCTCCCCAGAGAGGTCCGCCTGGCGCCGTCATTATTTGTTTTTCAGTGCCAGGCTAAGACCTTTTTATTTAAAACTTATTTTAATTGTTAATTTATTGGTATTTATAGGATTTTAAATCTTTTAAGCCAAGATGCACTGAGTTTTAATATTTTTATTGTATAATTTGTTATATTTGTATATTTTGTTCTTGTTGTGAGCCACCCCGAGGCTTTGTTGCGATGGGGGCGGCATAAAATGTAATAAATAAATACATACATACATACATACATACATACATACATACATAAATGCTCTTTCAGAGGAACACTGGGCCCAATAATTGGCAGTGCTTCCCTTTTAATGGTAGATGAACCTCATTTCTCCTCCCTCCCTCCCTCCCTCCCTCCCTCCCTCTTTCTTTCTTTCTTTCTTTCTTTCTTTCTTTCTTTCTTTCTTTCTAAATACTACCTGATCTGCCAAGAAAGCTGTCAAGGTAGTGTACAACAAAATAATGATGCCTTGAACAATGAATAAAGCCCAAGAACATTAACAACAGTGAAACAATGGAACTACGCATTTTAAAAGGCTGCATTGAAAAGATGTGGCTTCATATTGTTTCTGAAGGCCAAGAAAGTGGTACAAATTGTAGTTCTAGGGGGAGCACATTTCCTAGAGGGCCTTTTCATGCTTGCTCAGCAAGCCTCTCCTGCTGGTCCTAATACCTGGGTAGGTTCATAGTGAGGCAGGTGGTCCTTAGGAGAGCATCTTAGCTATTTTGAACACAATCTATTGATGCCTTCAGGCCTCTGAACCTGGAGGGTTATGGGCATCCAATTCAGGGCAAGAGGAGCAAAGAGGCGCTTTTTGCCTCCCCACTCCTGCTTTCAATTGAAGTTTCTGGCTGGTCTTTAAGGATAACCCCATGTAGAGAGCAACAATTGAAATGTGATGTAACCAAGGAGTGGCTCTCTTACCAAATGGGGTGCCTTGTCTGGCTTAATAATAGGACTAGCCCATGATCCCTTTTTCAGTCAAACATCTCTGTCCTTTTAAAAATATCCCTACCCTATGTTTGAATGCTTTTCACCATCCAGTTTATCCAGCTCTGCTTTATAGCTAGTTGGCTAGGAGACAATCAATCCGTATGAGACCAAGTGGGATTCAAAACCCACAAGCCTGGTAACAGTCTTGCCAGGGGAGCTTAGCTCCTGTGGCCCCTCACACCTACTTTTTTTAAACTGAGGCTATTTTATATTAAGATCACAAGTATTCTGGAGGCCATTTGAGTTGCACATATGTTCCTGTTAAATATTGTATGGCTATCAGGAAATCTCAGTTATGCAATCCTAGACGTACAGAGAATGAAAAGAGTTTCTGCTTCATGGAATTTGACCATATGCTTTCAGTCACAAGGAAAACAAATAGTCTGTGCTGGACTAGATTTCTTGCCAGGAGCAACATGTTGGAATGTGTCTCGCTCTTTTTGCCAAAGGAAGTCATCTGATTCAGAAACTGTGGCTTTTGATTTGGGTATAGCATATGCTTCATGTGTGATACCACCATTTCCTAGTAAGAAAAGAATAGCAGCCTTTTCACCTCGTGTGGGTGTTTTCAGATAAGCATGGAGTGTAGCGAACCGCATTTCCTGAAAAGTGGGGTGGGGGAAATCTAGAATTGTCAACATGTCTCTGTAATACCACATACTCAAGACAGATGGATTTTGCATTATTTGCTCTATTATATTCTAATTGTCTCCCATTCACTCTCTCTTCAGAAGAACAACAACAAAGCGGGGGACAAACAATAGGAGTAAAGGAAAAAACGATTGATGCCCTGAATATATGCACAGAGTAACAAATAAAAATAATCATCGAACATTTTTAAAGAGGCAGTAGAAGGAGCTGATAAAATCATGCATGGCACATAAAAGATAATATTGTCAGCCTACTGATTGAAAAGGCCACTCGCAACAGTCATGATGTAGCCAGTTACCAAAAAGACAATTAGCTCTGGGGCCAGGTTGGTCTCCCTAAGCTATTTGCTTGGTTATCAGTGTTAAAGATACTGCTTCTCATAGCCCTCTTCTGTACTTCAGTAAGTTTGGGGCACATGGATCAGGACCTCAGATGGTGATTGAGGCACATGAGAGAGCATACTCACAAAGAGAAAGTGCACCTTAAATTACCTGATTCCAAGTCCTTTAAAGTTGTAAAGTGCAGGGCCAGCATTTTCAATCAGAAACAAATGGGTAACCAATACAGGTGAAACAATCCCAGGGTAATATGTTCTAAATGACCAATCCCAGACAACAGGCTGGCCTAACATTTTGGGCCAACCAAAATGCTTCTTGAGGACATAAGTTATTTTTTCATGATAAAAGTTCATTCTGGAGATTGCTAATACCATAATCCTATGCATAAATTTATCAGAAATTGAATTTTGTTCAGTTTTTTCTCCTTACTAGATTTAGGATTGTAGCCTAAAGCATGGCTATTATGCTAATATATTAAACATATCCTGCAGGGAAAAACTGTGCAAGGATCAAATACATTTTGCAGGCTGGATAAATTAAACAAAATGAATACACCCTAATTTTGTAACTTTTATCTATTTAGCTTACTTTATTTTGACTTTGCTAGGCTAGGACAAGGAGCTATGGAGAGCATTGCAACCCTCTTCCAAGCCTTCTTATTCAGCTGCTTCTCTAGCTTCTAAGATTTCAGGAAGCATTCCCCACTGAATTCTGAAACATATTTGTGCAGACACAAAAGGTTAGAAGCTTGCTTTAAAAAAAGATGATTGCGCGTCTAATAGCACAGTGTACATGTTTACTCAAAAGTAACACCCTGAGTGAGACATTTGGTGGTTCCAGACAAGGTTTTTACTGAGTGATTGTCCTGCTTCTATCACAGAAATTTATAGGGGCTCCTGGTGTCATTCTCTCATAGTTCTCCTTTGCTTTCCTATCTCTTCAGCCCTCTTTTCCTTTTTCACCAAAAAAGAAAAAAAAGAGGAAGAAAAAAGAAAAGAGAGACGAAAGCCAGTAAGGAGGAAGATAGAATAGCTGCATAATATATTTGGATTGGTACTGCCAAGAATCATCCAACTGTTCTCTCTCTCTGTTGGCTGTGATCCAGGAAGACATTCTTTCTCTCCCACTTGTAATCATCCTGTGTTTCCACTGCTGCTTCTTCCTTTTTTCTTAGACAAGTGGCAGTAGGATGCTTTGAATCCCCACCATCCCTAGAATGGGATGGAAGGAATCTTGCCCCAAACCCTGGAGGGCTGCTGCTGCCAGTCAGTGCTGACAGTGATGGGCTGGATGGGTCAAGGGTCTGGTCTTGTATAAGGCCACGTTCTATGTTCTTGCCAGAAAAAACTCAGTTGAGGCAGAAAAATCGGGGGAGCTGCACCATGTTCCTTCATTTGTAGCACTAGGAGCTGTCCATGTAGGAAGCCCCCTTCCTACCGCATAATTGTGTATCAGTTTCCAGATGAAGCGCATGTCTTCTTTGTCCTGTGTCATACTGCAAGACACGCAATCCCCCTGAGCATATTGTGTAACAACCAGGCATGATGGGTTGGCCATAAATGGTAATGCCTGTATGTGACAAATTACATGCAGATTTCATGCTCTCTCTCCCCCCGCCCCCAAATTTAGGGAAAGTACTTTCTGTACAGTAGAAAAAGAACAATGTCAGAATTAGCCTTCACTGAGAGAGGAAAAAGGCCATATCCTTATCAGACCCCTGATCCATTTATCCCAGCATTATCTACTCAGTTGGCAGCAGCTTGCCAGGTTCTCTGCTGCAGGACTTTTCCCATTAGCTGCTTCTTGATCTTTTTAATAGGGACTGAACTTGGAATCTTTTGCTAGCAACCCATGGGTGCTACTACTGAGCCATATCCATCCCGTCTGAAGAGAAGAGTTCAATCATACTCCTGAGCTGAGCTGTTGGATCTTAGGAAATTTTCCAGGGTAGCTTCCCAGAACACATCATCCAGCCTGGCAACCTGCAGATGTTTTGGGCTAAAACTCCCAATGTTCCTGAAGATTGGCTATGCTATTTGGGGCTGATCAAAGCTGACATCTAAAGCATCTGGAAGGTACTAGGCTGGGGAAAGCTATGTTACTTCCTCACTGGAAAGCAGAATAGAGAGAGTCTTGTATAGAAGTGTCTTTTAGATATGATAAGCAGTCTATAAATAGATTCAGTGAATGCATGGATGTGTACCTTATTCTGACTTCACCAATCTGATCCTTCCTGAAGGAGGAAAAATAATGAATGTACTCCATTATATGAAGTGTGCATGTGTGTGTGAGAGCAGTACAAGGATGAAGCTTACTTTGCTGAATAAGCCCCATGGCTTAACCCTGATTGCCTGCGTACATGCAATCTGCATTTTGTGACTGATTCTTAAGTGGAGGGAGGCGTGAGACTGAGCCCCAGCAGCAACCATAGCACTGATATGGCTTCTTCTTTTCCAGGTGACCTGGTGTCCCGAGCAATGCATCACCTGCAGCCTCTCAGTGCGAAGCAGCATAGCAACAGTACTCCCATGCACCACAAGCAGGGGTCACTGTACTGGGAACCGGAGGCCTTGTACACCCTCTGTTACTTCATGCATTGCCCACAGATGGAATGGGAGAACCCAAACGTGGAGCCTTCCAAAGTCACTCTACAGACGGAAAGGTAATGTGTGTTATGAACAGATTCACTGGTTTCTGATTAGTTACCAAAGGGAGGCTAGGCTTCATAGACTTCTCCACTTAGTCTTTTTGGTTACAATTGCTTTTTCTTGTTGGAATAAATTTTGCCTGCCATGAAGTGCTCTGTGGCTGACCCAGAATATATCAAAAATGACACTCGGTGGCTACATGCTGCAGATTTCTTCCAGATGTCTATTTTGGAGTGATCTCCCTCCCCCCACTCTGCTTTCTTTTGTTTCTTGGCTCTGCCTCTGTTTTGGAAAGCAAAATTAGAGGTTCTGTTTTAACTTAACAGGTTTGGTTTTAAATGTGCTTTTTTACAAATTTAATGGGCCTCAGCAACTATAATTTGGGAAATAGGGACTGAATACAGTACAATGTGCAAAAAACAAACTGCAGAATGTATTACACAGCTCGTAATGCCTGTTGACAGTCAGAAGTGATGTTGAAACAAGCTTGCCGTTTAGGACATAGTCTTCTGGGGTTTAGCCAAACTTTTGAAGCTCAAGAAGCACCAGGAAAGGGTGTGTGTAGTGTGGTGGAGCGAGAGATAGAGACAAAATGTCCTAACTTCAGAAATTCATTTGCAATAAGAGATGTTCTTTGAAGAATCCCTTACAAGTGGATTCAGGTACTAGAAGGGGTTGGACCTGAAGATGCTTATGTTGCCTTCCAACTATTCCCAGAGAGATTCTGGTTCAACAGTAGCTGCCTGCAGTAGAGCCAATTCCAGGATCCTTGGCTGAATGTATCTCAAGACATCTGTGTGTTAGGTCAGCACAACTTACGACCAAGAAAACCAAAGTGAGCCCATCAGCAAAGCCTCTTCCAGGTGTGAGGAGCCCCCCCCCCCCACTACATTCTATCAGGACGCTGCCCCAGATTTGCATGCCTTCCCCACCAATGGGTCTGCCCTGGCACTTACTGCCAAAGCCAACATTTACTGCCTGAGAGCCATTCACCATTTTGTGCTCCTCACTATGCCTTGGTGCAGCATTACACTGTGCGACACTGTCTCCTCATTCTGAGGCTCCTCATTATTTGGAGTAGGACTGAGATTTGGATGAGTCACAGCTCCCCCATGTCATGGGGGGCCCTTGGTGCCCCCTTTGATACCATTTCAGCCTGAGGATGTAGTTCGCCCATCATCTGCCTTTGAGGATAACTCACCTGCCCTGTGCAGGCACATGAAAATGAGAACAGACACTGGACCTTTAAGTCAGCAGCTTAGCAGGGGTGCAGCCTCTGAAAGACCAGGCTTGACCAGCCTTCAGAAGATCTCAGTGGATTGCTGTGCTTTGCTGGGGTAGTTGCTTCTTATGGGAGAGAACTCCAGCCAGCATTTCCTGCAGCCTGCTTCCAAAGTTTGCCTGGATGCAGGACAGCAGGCACCAAGCTGTACTCCCCTCCCCTGGGCTCCACTCCAAGGGACAGGATGATCAGAATGGCACCTTCTCACATGCTTTCTGCACCTGCTTGCTAAATCCCATGGGTGGACCTACAGCAGCCACCTGCTCACCAGCCGTGTATGGCTGTATCCTTGGAATAAAAGCATCTTTCTCTTTTTACTGTCTACCTGGACCTGACCAACCAGTAGATAGTAAAGATTTTGGATGCCCTCCATGTGTGGTTGGTGGACTGCCTTTGGCTGCATTTGTGCATACATGGGTTGGGTGTTCAGCCAGTTGCCTACAGTTTGCCTAGTTTCACATAGTGCTGAGAAAGTGAGAGCTTTTCCCACTCCAGCTTTTCTCTGATGCAGGAGGGGTGAGGATATAGCCAGGATATAGCCAGGTAGATGTCTTGATGAGAGATGCACACAAAGTGCATTTCTGGTGCATCTGAGGTGACAGACACATCATGTTGAAGAAATGTGCTTAGTTGGCATAAATTTTATTTATTTATTTTATTTTTTATTTTATTAAAACATTTTTATGCCACCCCATTCGCCGAAGCCTCGGGGCGGCTTACAACAAAAAATTTAAAATAACATTTTAAAATATATACAATAAAATACAAATATACACTATAAAACAAGCCGCCCTGGCCAAATAAAATTCAATAATATTAACATTTAAAATACTGCTTAAATAAAAAGGTCTTCGCCTGGCGCCGAAAAACAAATAACGACGGCGCCAGGCGGACCTCTCTGGGGAGCGCATTCCATAACTTAGGCGCCACCGCTGAGAAAGCCCTCCTCCGAGTAACCACCCTCCTAACTTCTTCCATGGAGGGCTCCCGGAGAAGGGCCTCTCCCGCCGATCTCAGGGGGCGGCTGGGCATATAAGGATGTAAGCGCTCCTTCAGGTAACCAGGACCCAAGCCGTTTAGGGCTTTATAGGTCATAACCAACACCTTGAATTGGGCCCGGACTTCAATGGGAAGCCAGTGAAGCTGACGGAGAACTGGAGTCATGTGAACATAACGTCCAGTCCCCGTCAGCAGCCTGGCAGCTCTATTTTGGACCAATTGAAGTATCCGGACCGTCTTCAAGGGTAGCCCCACGTAGAGCGCGTTGCAGAAGTCCAAACGGGAAGTCACCAACGCATGTGTCACTGTCGCAAGGCAGTCATTCTCCAGATAGGGGCGCAGCTGATGAATTAGCCGAAGCTGGAGGAAAGCACTCCTCGCCACTGCTGTTACCTGAGCTTCCAGTGAAAGCTCTGGGTCGAGGAGCACTCCCAAGCTGCGGACCTTGTCCCTAAGAGGGAGTGCAACCCCATTAAGGACAAGGTTCAATTCACCCTCTCCGAAGCCCGATCCACCAACCAACAGGACCTCCGTCTTGTCTGGATTGAGCTTCAGTTTATTGGCCCTCATCCAGCCCATTACCTCGGCCAGGCACCGGTTCAGCACAGCCACTGCCTCACCTGGATTGGTGGAAAATGAGAGGTAGAGCTGGGTATCATCAGCGTACTGATGGTTCCGCAGCCCACACCTCCTGATGACCTCTCCCAGCGGTTTCATGTATATGTTGAACAGCAAAGGGGACAAAATGGACCCCTGCGGTACTCCATGGCATAGCTGCCATGGCGCAGAGCCATAGTCCCCCAGCACCACCTTCTGGAACCGGCCATTGAGATAGGAGCGGAACCACTGCAAAGCAGTGCCTCCAACCCCCAATCCCGCAAGCCTATCCAGAAGGATACCATGGTCGATGGTATCGAAAGCTGCTGAGAGGTCCAGCAGAACCAACAGGGACGCACTCCCCCTGTCCTTCTCCCTGCACAGGTCATCATACAGGGCGACCAAGGCAGATTCAGTACCGTACCCGGGTCTGAAGCCGGACTGCAATGGGTCCAGATAATCAGTTTCATCCAAGAGTGCTTGGAGTTGTCCCGCCACCACTCGTTCTAACACCTTGCCCAGAAACGGGATGTTGGCCACTGGTCTATAATTAGTGGCCATCTCTGGATCCAGTGACGCCTTCTTCAGGACCGGTCGGACTACCGGTGGCGGTGGCGACCGTCGAATAAATTGTATTATTCACATTGCCCCTGCCCCTTATTTTTCTGAAAGGGATCTTTGACTGCATATTTTCATCCATTTAAATCACTGGATATTTAAGATAGAACTTTGAGACTGAGTGGCCACAGCCTCAGTTTACAAAATAAGAAAAACCTGGCCAGGTAAGTTTCAAACTTGCGAGCCGCTTTCTCTCCCCCAAATTTAGCTATACTGTTATGATGAGAACAACAAGGATGAGGATGATTCTATTAACAAAGCAGTTGGAGTAGGAATTATATTCAAACCAGAGGAAAGTCTGTTCCTTTTTAAAACCTACTTGACAAAATTCTCTTTCTCTGGAAAACCACTTTAGGAACTGTGGTGATGTGGTAAAGGCTGGAGAAAGCCTTCTCTGTTGCTGCCAGGAACTTGTGGTTGGCTTTGGGAGGAACAAAGATTCCTTCTGCTGCCTAATCAGATGTGCCTTGGCATTGAGTGCCAGAGTCCCACGCGTAAAGGATATTATGGAGGCCCAGATCTTTCCACTGTACCAAGTTATGTAATCTCCTTTGCTTTTCTGTTCCAGTTCCCATACCTCCTCACAAAGGCATTTGGTTAAAGTGGCTTCTATTTGTGTTTTGAAACATTTTCTTTTGTATTTTTATTTCCACTAAAGGGTTACCGGTGACAGTCTCCACTGTAAGTCTTTCTTTATAGTGTTTGATTTATTACTAGCATTTTTCCTTATGAATAGAGAACATTTCTCTTTTCTACCTCTCCCCCTTGGACAAGAAAAATGAAATTGCTTTTAGCTATGTTTTTTCTGCTCCCCCCCCCTTGATTTTAATCCACAGTCCAGCCTCTTTCTCTGATTCTCATTATTTGGGGCTTCTTTGGAGGGGGGGTGCATTAATGAAGCAGCTAGCTTATATCCCATTACCTGGATGCTTTACCATGATTTTCCACATTTGACCCTTGGGTGTCAAATGAAGAATTTAGGTGTCAGAGAAGAATTTCTTGGGTATTGTCAGTGTAAGTATCTTTCCTGGGTATGTGCAAACGTATCACTGTGAGGGAGCTGCTGGCAGTATCACTGCTTTGTAAATTAAAACAGTCATTGTGTCCCACAGTAAACCCTTTAAAGGATATAAAACACCTTTATGTTGTATTTAAGTTGTAGACCCTGGATGGGAAAGATCCACTTGGTGGCATTTGTGATGCCATGAACTTAATTCCCATAACAATATTGTAATTCCTTTTACAATGTTCACAAGCTCTGAGCCTGATTTTTCCAAGGTCCTGCTCACTGTCTGGTCCAAGTCCCACAGTAGAAACAATTTCATCCTCTTCCTCCACTTTATTTCATGTCCTAGCCCACAGAGGCCCAAAACAGATTTTACTCTAAATCTCTGTGTGGAAGCAATCTCTTCCTTTTACCCACCTTTACTCGAGAGGTAGTGTAGGGGACTCAGATCATATAAGCCCCTTTACCCCCATGCTAAGGTCCCAATCTGTAGCAAAGGACAGAGTGACACG